GGTCTCTCTCATGACTTCATTGGAGAGTGCCTGAGATACATTTGGGAGTCTAAAGCGCTACCTGAGCTCAGAACTCCTGCAGCCACACTCATGGAAAACAGTGAAGTACAGAGAAATCCCAACATACTCATATACAGAACAAAGCCGCAAGGGCCACATCTGACCCTCACTACACCCAGGACCATAGATGAGCTGGCTGCTGTTCATGGGCACAGCCTCCCAGACCCAGGTGGATGACCGGGCCACAGCCTGGCACACAGGATCCCTCACCCTGTGCTCCTCCTTCTGCACATTAGCCCCGGTGACTCTGCATCCCATTGCTGACAACCACACACACCCATTCTTTTAAAAGCAATGTACCTTCTTCCACCTTTTGAAGGTTTGCAACTCAAACTCTACAGTCCTTTGGGACTCCAAAGCTTGCAGGTTGGTCTCACTCCTGAGCCCTCCCCACAGGATTGTTCTGAACAGGCAGTCTTCATGTCCTCACAGATTCTCCCCAACAGGCCGCTTCTGCTCTTGCCACATCAGATTTTACATGATTACTTTAAAATATTTTACATGCCTTCATGTGCTGACAGGGAAAGCCAAGTGTCTCTCTCTCTGAATCCCATTATCACTCTGCTCTTCCTTAAAGTTTAGCTCCAAATTCCCTTCTTCCCCAAGGACCTCACTGGCTAAGTCTGCTCAACCTTACCCCCAGTCAGCTCTCATGCATAAACTCTCCTGACAGTTTCCAAGTTGTATTCTAATTGCCCTCTCTCCCCGCAAGCAGGTAAACCTTTGCTGAATAAGGCCAGACAGTGAATATTTCAGGCTGCACATACCTTCCTGTCTCGGTTACCACCTGTCACAGATGGCACACAAGCGCTTGGCATGGCGAGACCTTGATGCAACTGGACTTATGTGTACTGAGGTTTAAATCGGATATGATTTTCACATGTCATGAAATCATATTCTCCTATTGATATATATATATTTTTTTTCATTCACAGACTACAAAAACAGGCACTGAGCAAAATTTGGCCTGGGGCTGCTGTCAGCCATCGTTGTTCTGTTGGAACCTCGCCTGTGCTGCATGCCAGGTAAGCAGGCTTAGGGCACTGGCTTTGTGCACAGCTAAGTAAGACCTCTGTGGTCAGGCTGCCCCCAGCCGAGAGAGAGGGCCGAGTATTTCCTATGGAGAAAATGGAGTCAGAGCTAACAGCGTGTTTGGTCTGCTGGTCTGATAATTATGCTAATGTTTCTCCCAAAGAATTCGAACTGTACAAGGTCAGCTGAGAGGGAGGTGTTGGGAGGTGTTTTCCCCTGGAAGAACGCTGAGGAGTTAATCAGCTTCCAGAAATGGTTCCCTACATGACACTGAAAGGCCAACAGCAAAAACAAGCCCTCCTCTATTTCACTTCCCGGGGCTTTAAAGGCGGCATCAGCAGTAATAACCAAACTATGATCATAATCTTTAGGGAAATTGGTACACATCAGTATGATTAAGACACAGAAAAGCCTATAATTTGTACCTCCAGGGGGAAGAAATAAAAGATAATGGCCTACTTCTCAAACTTTACAAAGGGTCTGTTTTTCCTCTGAAATTTTTGAATTACAAGGGGCTCCTGCACCTCTGAGGGTCCTGTCCAGAGGAGACCCAGTGCAGAGGGTCCGAGGCTGGGGCTGGTTGCAGTAGGGACAGAGCATCGTGTTTCCGGCTGACTGACGACATCAGACTGTACATGATGCTGTGGCAGTTCCCAGAGCGGGAAGCGTGCTCGTATGGTCAGAAGTCAGCAGTAAATGGTCTGTACTTGGAAAGGAATTCCACACTACTTAAGGAAGCATTCCAAATGAGCCAGCAGCATGCACGTGCGGGTCCTGGCCTCGCGGGACACAGATGTTGCCAGTTTGGCCAAGCCTATGGCCTCGGCCTGCACCTGGGATACGGCTGGAAGGGAAATCTCTGTGCTTACTCAGAGAGCAGTGAGGAGGGCAGCCTTCTGAGCAGCCACATTGTGATGCTGAGGCGTTTTGGTCCCTGAGCACATTATGGATTAGGAGACAGTGGCATTTCCTAGAGCAGAGTGAGTTGATATGTGTCTAAGGTCTAAGGGGGAAAGTACAGTTACTTGCAGGCTCAAAAAGGAAATCCTGAGCTGATCAACCTTCCTGGCTATTATTATGCCAAACAACGTTGCAGCTGAGCTTTTCTCAAATGTTTATGACTCATGCCGATGCAGCCACATCAGTGCTTCTTACGAAAGAGATGAATACATCAGCAGCACCTCCTACAACCCAGCGTCCACCACAGCACCTGCACAGCTCTCTGCACACCTCCTGCCCCTAGCTCAGTGCTGCCCTCAGGTGTTCTGAGTGAGTCCAACTGCTGCTTCCAGGTGTCACAGCTGGGACGAAGGGCCTTGAAGGGCGTTAAAGAGGGTGAAAGCCGGCATCTGGGCTCCAGTGTGTGGTAACAGAAAAACATGCCCCCCTTTTATAGACAAGTGCTGACACCTGAATGCCTGCCCTGAGAAGACACACATAAGGCATTGGTGGCTGGCAGCTGTGGTCTCCACTTTCCATGGGAAGAGACTGTGAAAGTGGAGTTGGCCCATGTCAAACCATGCCGGATTCTGACAGCCCTGGCCTTCCCCAGGGAGGCCTAGGAAAATGCTTAGTCTATTCAGACATCGCAACACTCTCTACACACGGGAGCACGTCCCTGGTCCCCAACATGAGAGTGAACACGGTGACTGTCGTCTGGGAAACCTGACATTCTTCACTATTTCATAAGTTCTATCCTTGCGCAGCCATGTCCTACAGGTTGAAGTATGTACTCACGGCCATTGCACCTTGCAAATCTTACCAACAATTGCTCTTTCAAGTACACTGACCTAAGGTGCCAGACCACCCGGGCCTTTCCTGTGGTCTCAAGAAAACTCAACGCTTTCCTTCTCTGTATCGTGGCATATTTCAACTTCCAAAGACAATTTCTGTACAACTCTTACTTCTCAGTAAACAGGTTTTCAACTAAAATACTTTAAGCAGTATTGTCGCTTCTGAGTCATGCTGAGTGGTGCCAATAGTGTGGAAGTTTTCATTGAAGAGAGTCGAAAAACATCACTTATATTTTGCTTGAAATGCATTATCACTTTTTTCCTAAGCACTAGATTTGCATTCCTAATTATTCTCTCATTATACTAATTAGTTTACATCTGTGGAAAGCATGGAAGATGACTTAAAACACCATTTATGAAGGACAAGCCCAGCTATTCTTCTCCCATGTAGGAAGCTTGTTTGTGGAGACTGAGTTTGACTTTTCTAAAGTTCTTTGTCAAGAATCTTCTTAATCAATATCACAGTTAGAACATATACAATTAAAGCTTCATGTCAATAAAATGATAAATCACATATTACTTTTAGCTGTTTTACTTGGGGAAAATAGCAAACGGGTCCAATAACAAAAGTGAGAAAGATATATCACCTTGACTTAAAAATGTAAAAATGTAAATACTATTTACATATTATCTGATATAATCCATCAAAGACTGTTTATAATGTGTTGTATTGTGACATATGCATTATCACATTTAATAGAAATTTTTCATATACATGATTAACCCAATTATCCAGGCAGCATCTGTTCAGTTCCCAGATTCTACATGATATGCTCAGCCCTGCTCTTTCTCTTTCTGGCCTGAAATCTGATCAATTTCTTTCCTGTTAGTCTTGAACTAGTGACAAAAGAGGAAAGAATAAAGGCAACTAAATGTTAAGTTGATCATATTTTTAATAGTTACAATGTTCTTTTTAAAAAAAAATGACCGAGAATATGAAATTGTTAGTTAAGAACCTCTGGTAAGTATCGATAGCCAGTAAATGATTTTAAAATTATTTCAATGTTTCTGACTTAGTAAAATACACTTAATTTGCAAGTGTTAATGAGGGATATAATTACTGTATAACCATCATTTACTTTCACTATTTCCTTTATTTACACCTGTATGTAAATCATAGCAGGAAGAAACAGAAGTGTGCAGAGCCTGGGAGGCCAGAATTAGAAACCACATCACTTCATTGCAAGCTATGTGGCCATACCTTGAGATCACGAGGGTGTCAATCCGAAAGCTGCTGACTCAGTAAGCACAGCTGCCTGTGAATGCGCATTTCTGAGACAGTGCTGCTGCCACTGGGGCCTGGGGACCATGCTTTTAGAAGCAGAAGCCAACCAGGGTTGCTTCCTTCAGCCCTTCTGACATTCCAGTAATCCTTCAATGATGTGAGAGCAGGGATATGTTCTGATATATATATCAGCCAGCTGGCCTTCATCCTATTGCAAACTGGCCACCACCATGGTGCCTGTGGCTGCCTACAATTGCCATGGAAGTGCCGCATGAATCAGCTTCCATTTTCTCAAGCGTTATGAAAGGCTCATTCACAGGAGGGTTCCTCTTTGCTAAAATGTTTATCCTTTTTCTCATGTAAGCCCCCGAATCTATTAAGCAGATCACGGAGACACTGCACAACAAAGAAAATTATCCCATCATCCCGAGTCTTTCTCAGAAATCAGGGAATTTGTGTCACCCCCATGTGGGACATTAAGTCCTGCAGGTGGCTCTCCTCTCCCATGTGCACAGACGCCTCCAGCCCCAACTGGCATGACCCCATCATGGAAAGGGGGCTGCTTTGTTCCTATTCCTCAGAAATAAGTGCGTGCCTTTACCTTTCTCACATCATTTCTTTGCCACCTGCTCGTTCAAGTTACAAAATATATCACATAAACAGGCATTATCCTGGATCTACCCTCCCCCAACAAACCCTGTCAAAGTACCAACGCCATACTGTTTCAGAAAAGCAATCATACTGTGACCTCTTCCCCTCACCCACCCCTTCCCCCAGAAAAAATTGCAAACCTCCGAGGCATTCTGTGTTATATCTCATTGGTGAAAAAAAGAAATCGCTGAAAGAAATGGATAACGACAGTTGGTGAATGTTCAACATGGTGGTCTTACCTATGCATACTAGATCCATAAAACCATACATTCCATAGCAGATCTGAAAAAGGAGGTCCTTCCTCTGCCACACCGCATAGGGGCTGAAGGCTGACCAGAGAAGCCAAGTCACACTCGCTATTAAGAACAGGGATCCTAGGATGACAGCAATCATTTGAACTTTCTCAACCAGTGTTATAGAAATGCTTTGCCACTAAAAGAAAAACAGAGGCAGGTAAGACAAAAGGTGCTGCGTGTAACCAGAGGAGAAAATACACATGTTCAGCCCCATGTTTCTCTTCTTATTCTTAAGACTCTATGCAATCTGATCAGCCTCCCCCAAATGAGTTTTTTTCCCTTTCACCCGTGCTATAAAAATAATAGACAAGCAAATAAAGATGAATGAATTGTCTTGATTTCATTACTTTCAGCAATTCAGCATTCTGCAGGTTTCATCCAGTCTCATATTCCTCTGTCTGGTAATTTATTCTATTCTTAACAGATGTGGCTACTGCAAAAGTGGATTATGTCTTATTTTTGGAGAAAAATGTACAAAAAAATTACACAATAATATCAGTAAAAAAGTCACTTAAAACAACACAGAGAATAATCATAAAGATTATACAACAGTCATCTGTTACTAGTATGTTACATGTACTCAAATAACACTGCCATTTTATTACCTATGAGTAAACTAGAAGACATTCTTGTCAAGATTTAGAATTGGTACACTAGAGGAATGTTTTTGAAGCCCACAAACCACACTGGCACACTATTGAAAAGGGATAAGTATTTGGCGTCCTACATTTGAAAGGATTTATAGTACAAACGTCCACAAATCTTTCAAAGGTGCCATCAATTTCAGAGGAACTAATTGTTCAAGTTCTCACTTTGTGTATCAAACAGAAACAGAACTAGAACCGTCCATTATTGTGGTTTGCCAGGAAGCAATGAAACTCCAAACCACCTACACCTCAGGCCGCTCTGGCTGCTGCAACAAGACGGGCTTTGGGTGAGCTTTCTCCAAGGAAGCCGAGCACTGGTGTCAACCGCCTGATTCTGAGACAATGCTTCACTTACCTTCAGTGTGAACACCACCCATAATTCCCCTGGCTTCCTGAGTTTGACCATTCTCTCTCTCTCTCACACACACACACTTAAATAACAATTTACATATAATATTTAAAGAAGGAATTTGACCTTGCATATTCATGAATATTATCACCTCCTACATTCGTTAAAGATCAAATACCAACATACACTGGCAATATTTCATACTCTAAAGTTAAAATTCTGTGAGAAAGCTATTTATTCACTTTAACAGGAAGAATCAACCACTGAGGGGAGGAAACAGCTCTCTTAGAATTTGGAGTCTAAAACAGTGAAGTGGTCAGCATTGTTTTCTTATTACAAATGATTCAATGTTGAATTTTACACATACTTCTGAAATTGTTCCTTCCTAACTTTACAATACAATGCTAAGCACATTAATTCAAAACTACCAAAAATTTGAAATTTAAACAATGTGAAACTTGATGTCACATTAATAACTTTAAATGTGAAGTGGCAGTATCTACTGTTCTTGTGTAATTTTGATGCTTATTAAAATGTACAGCAATATGATAAGCAAAAGAGAAAATTCCTTATATCTGGCTTCCCTCCTGGATCGCTGCTACCACATCTAACAAGCATTTTAATCATTTGCAATTCACTAATCACATCAAATATTGAGAACAACCTTCACTGATGGCTAGCATCCTTCTTCCAATAATCTCCATGAGGTTCCACAGATATAAATGTAAATAGTGCAATACTGCATAACTCAGTGTATTTAGCTTAAACAGTTACCAGCTAATAGACCTGGGCTTATCCACATGCTAGTTCAACGACAGAATGGCCAGCCAGACACTCAGACTCAACAAGTGAATGTAGCTGCGGTGCTTTTGGTGTCACAGGAATGACCTCATAGACTTCCAGTGGATCCTAACCATGACCCATGCAGTAGGGCTGTTCCTTCACAGGAGGCCCAAGGTCACATTTCCCAGGGACAAGGACTTTGTACTTGTTTGGATGACATCGAATTTAAGACGGTTTAAGTTTCAAATGTCTGGAATTGGGAATTGACGTGTATAGTTATGTCAGGGAGCTGTGGAAGATAGAACCACTGATCAAAGTGGACTGAGAAGCTTCATTGTTGTTGTTCTAAAAATTACTTTTCACTGGTGTATGCAAGAAATAATTTATGATTTGGAAGCTTATTTTAAAAATTAAAAAGCAACAGATGTTCTTCATATACTGATGAACCTTAAAATTAACACAGTTCACTGAATAGCTAATGAGGACAGGCTATTATTGATGTTAGAATGATTAAATCTGACTATGAACATACAGCTTTATCCCTGAACACTGCTATCATCTGAGTTGCGGGGTGTGTGTGTGTGTGTGTGTGTGTGTGTGTGTGTGTGCGCGCGTGCACGCATGCACATGCCTTAACTCCAGTTTCTTATTTCCACCTTTCTGTGGAAAGGGCAGGATTATTCTCATTCTCCCCAAGAAGAAATGTCTGTGCATCCTGGTCCTGGGAAAACAGGCAGAAGATGGCCACCAGCTCCACAGCAAGGAGCTGTTTCAACGGGACAGTAGTTTAGCCAAGAAAAGTAGAAGATAAGTTTCTGGGGCATCCCTCTCCACCCTGACGGTATTCAAGACCTGGACTTAAAATTTGTGAAAATGTTTCCAGAACTAGAACAAAAATTTGCAATCACTACACTCACTCGTCTCTTCTAACGCCATCCATTTTATTTCATTCAACTTCTTCTCAAGTTTGGAAAGGAAAGGAAAATGGAATACAATGATAGCCAGATGGGCTCTAAATTACTATAGGGAAAAACTACATGTGGTTTTATGTTTTAATGCCAACATGAAGTTACTTTCAGATTGCATTTTTAAACAGGCATTGTAAAATACTTGATTGTTTTACTTATACATGATTCTTCATATTTCTGAAAAGTTTTTCACTTCTGTGGGACAATGGCCTCCTCTTTGGGAAGTTCACTTCCAATTAACTCCCTGAATGAAGATTCAGAGGAAGGAGGACAAAGCAAATTGAACAAATTCCCAAGCAGACAAGGATAGCAAAGATTGGAGTGAATAGAGACTTGAGGCTAACTATGTCAGCCAATGGATATTGGGAAGGTTGCCTCACCCTTGGATCAGTGAAATAGACAGCGTTTCAGAACTATCCAAACCAGAACCCCTAGAACATGTTCTACATTGGAACCCTGGGTTGATACTGGTTGGTGGTTCCCCATCTTTGGGTCCTGGGACACTTGCGAGGCTGGGTGTGGCTTCTCCCTCTTTCTCTCCCCTTTTTCCAGTGACAAGAAGAAATAGAGTACTTGGAAACAATGACTTCACCCACTTTTCCTTACCCCTCAATCCTGCCCACCATGGTCAACCACATAATCATCATCAAAAATAAAAATCAAATAGGAAAATTCAATTATTATATCATATACTCACAAGAAACCAATATGTACACAGAATTGTTTTTAAGAGGCTTTATGTATTAACTCATTTGCTATATGTAATAACTATCTAGGGATTATTAATATTACCTCCCATTTTCTGGTAAGTAACCTGAGGCAGAGGTTAAACAATTTGCCCAAGTTTATACAACTAGTCAAAACCAGGCTGAGATGCACCCCTAAACAGTGTGAGTCCATTCATGTATGTTATCTGAGTAATGGTTATTACCACGCCCATTCCATCATTGCCTGCAGGATACAGTCCTGGTTCGGACCAGCAAGCTGAGAAATGAGAACTCAGAATCATATCTTTCCAAATTCCTGATCAAACAGTTGGCTCTCTGCCTCTGATCCCTTATGTGCCTGCTTAACTGACTTACCCTGCTTCTGTACGAAATAGCAAAAATGGTTGTGGATGGAAAAAGCCAAGGCATGCTCCTGGCCCTAGGACAGAGGCCAATCCAACCTGACCTGCAGCCTGTAAATGGCTCCTCGGGTCTGAAAGGGGCAATTTATTAAATGAACAGTAATACTAAACCAATCATTTCAAGGAGTTACATCTTCCTCATTTTAGTTTAGTTTAGAAGGAATTAAGTAAACTCATATGGCAAATTATTTAATATTCTCCAAACACTACAACTGTTCACGAATAGACCATCTTAAGTTCTAGCAGCCTGCACAGACACAGAACCTGTGTGGTTAGAGCTGGAATCCTAGGACATGAAGGTCTGCTAGTGAGTGCTTTTCATGGGAAACCGTGTCCTAATAATTTCCACAGACTGCTATTAAACTACACAAGATATAGTTCCACTATCAACCAAATCTGATTTACTAACACGGGTCTGTCACTCTTTTCAGAGCAGAAGAATGTGAGGAAAAGCTACACGATTTCTTTAAATGAACGACAGCAACCCAAGCTGATGCCAGACACAGTCTCCTCGCTGTGTAGATCACCTCCAGCCAATAAGGTCAGCACTTGAGAAAGACCTGCACTCCCTCTGGTCTCCAGAAAGCTATCTGGGAGCTGGAGCTGTCATTCTATTGTCTGAAAGAGTTAACGTACCTTCTCAATTTCCTGCCTGAAAATGCCAAATGCTCACAGGGAACCAAGCTGCATTGAGACAGATCTGTTCAGGGTGCACTAAATCACCCTTCTGAAATGCTGTTTCATCTTTGTTTTTACAAGGCTGGCCAGATATGAATCATAAGTTAATAGATTTGTAGACCAGTGATTTATGCTGTGTGGGATGACAGGAGAGATTACTCACCAGTGTCACAGCAAAGAACACCTGCTCTTACAAAGTGTCCTCCTCAGAAAAACGAGTTGAACTAAAACCTAATTTCCATCGTCTTTAGATGGTGCTTGAACTGCGTCACCAGAGCTGAGATTCAAGCATCTGAATGTGTAATCAAGTTGGTATGTGCGTACAACATGCAGTTAATAAGATGCCCATTCTTTGTTCATCTGTATTTATAGGCTGCTTATTAAAAATGAATTCACAGTTTGGTACAATTCTTTTCTGCTAGAAAAGCACTTTCATAAATCTATCAGAGCAAAGATTTAAAAAATGAATCTGCACGTTCTGAAAAAGATGAAATCTAAGCAATAGAGAGGAAATAATTACAAGACTTCTTTGGGAAAAATCTATAGATATTAATTAATGGAAAGAAAGGATATAATAGCTAC